TTTGTAACACAAATGGGGAAATGCCAGATATTTTCTAAGAAAATTAAGTCAGAAGGCAAAGTACTCAAAAGGAAATAGAAGGATGTTTTCTTTCTACAACGTGACTAAAATGACAGCTTCATACAAATTTAACTTTAGAGGAGTCGCGAGTCAGAAAGGTAGACAGAAAATATTGAAATTATTTACTTTCAAGTCTAGACTCTGAGGAGCAAAAAAAAAAAATCCATGCGGATTTAACAAATCAACATTCTTCACTGAGCTACCTTACATCTGCTCTTCCTTAGGTGTTTAATGTTTTTTTAAATACAACTTTATATGATTTTCATGACATTTAATTGGTAGAAATCAACCAACGATTGGCAACGTATTAGTTTTCAGTTAGCTGTCAAATGTAATCATCTTTATTTTGGTGTCGTGAACTGATGCAAATTTCAAAGAAGTATTTAAAAAAGAAAGCAAAAAAAGATGGTAAATGTTGTTTAATTATCGCGTGACAAGAAAACACCATGATAACAATTCAACAACCAGTACCGCTGAGACATTTTCAGCATTTTTTAAAGTGATTAATTTATAATTATGGTCAAAAGCTTTCCTTAAAGAATATTTATATAGTCGTATGTAAAACTATTTCATAACATGTTCATATTTTGAACTTTGCCAAGGCATGTGGTCTACTGGCTCTTCTCTCATCCTACGATGCATTTGGAACAAATTGCGTGACGCACGAGAACATGCAAATTTTAGTCTAACAATGATATCGAAGATCGTCTTTGGAGTGCTTTATTTTTCAAATGGAACTTAAGCTATGCCCTCAAGCCTTGTTCATTTGGCAATTTTAAATAGTGCGGTTTGTGTTCGACCACATCACGAAATAAACTTGTCTTTGGGGGAAATATTATCTCGTTAAAACATACATTCGCGATATGAAATTTTTATAGGGAGCGCTATTTAGGTTGAAACTGAACGACGTACACGCAAGTAAATGTATACAATTTGAGACAGATCAAAACACTACAAAAATGTTTTGTTTTGCGTAATATTGTCCATGTGGAATGGACAGTCGATGAGAAAAATGTTTTGATGATTCGACGTAAAAGCGACACTTTTGTAGTGGCGGTAGCCCGTTATTGCAAATAAATAGTTCTGCATTAAAATATTTAGCCATGTTATTCAGTGTTTCTAAGGTTGGTTATGCAGATGAATTCTGTGATTGTATTCTACTGAATAATAAACAGCTACGCATTTTAAAATGTTTCAGTGATGCCGGTGAAATGTGCCATTCAGCGTTTTCACTGTTCCACGAACTTGACCAATCTGAATGACCGAATTCTCAACTCTATAGTCGATCGCTTCACGTTTCCAAATTTCAGACAGGTTCTCTACGAGCACAACTATAACTAAAACCTGGACGACAAAAGTAATTTACGCACTTCAATCCATATCTCTCAAGAGGCGCTAAGAATATTATTTCCTGAGTCAATCTACAAACTATCGGCATCAGACAGACTCTAACAGAAGAACTCGCCTTTACAAGCGTACCTACCAGAAATCGGTATCGTTACGAAACAACACAGCACCACAAAGCGAACCATCATTTCTGATATTGCCGCTTGGCCACCAGGTTTGTTACGGCTGCGGTCGAGCGGCGACGGCGTCAAATTTGCATGCTCGCGCTCTTGCCTCACAGGCAGCCCAAGCTTACGATGGGCGGATGTTTACGTTTTTTCACGTTATGAGCAAAACGTGACAAACGAAAGGCAACGGATGAAACGTGAAACAAGAGCTGTCGAAGTTCTTGATTCCTGGCTCGTTGTATATTTAGAAGATGTGTAGTTGATTTTTATGGGGAAAACAGATTTGGAAGTTGATACCTTGAACAATTAATGCTTTGATTAAACCTTTGTTGTTTTGACGGCTTGCTGTCTCACTCCTCAGGCCAAACCGAAGCTATTCAAGCGAGTGATGGATTTTTAAATCTGTGAATGTCCCGGGCATGCATGAGAATTAAATGAACAGCAAACATTAAAGGAAGTTTATTTCCTTTAAGAAATCAAAATATCTCCCCGATCGAGATCCGGTTTTCTCTTAGGTCCGCAGGCTTCCGTAATGACGTTTTGGATTTTTTTAAACCGGTCGTTACGTAACTTGAGTAAACAGGGGTCTCAGAAAACAATAACATGAGGCTGGGTATCCTGTGTGACGTAATTTGTCATGAGCATTAACATTAAAAAGTTTGTGAATTGCATTATCTAAAAAGGTTATCATTTTTGTCGGAAGCCGTTTTATCCCGGCATAGGGTAATAAAGACTTTGACACTAAACCGCCACGTAGCGTGAAATACATTAGCGGCAGTCACGGTATTAAAAGATATAGGTCTGCGACGCGTACGTAGCACACTTCTACTGCAAGACCACGGGGAAATTTAACTGTTTATGTAACCGTTTTACAAACTCAAAAAAAGAATATTTCAGCTTTTATCTGACTTTCAATTGAAGAAAACAAAAACAGTGATAAGAAGGGTCAGGTTCAAAGAAAATGAAAAGGCTTCCTAAACATGTTCAAATTATCTAAAATAATGATTAGATGGATATACAGATGATATGATTCAATGATTTCATGAAGTTTTTGAAAATGAAAAATTCAGAAAGCGATGATCGAACATCCTCTATAGAAACAAAGACAGCAGACCTTGGAAGACTGGTGAAGGTGAATTAGTCGAGAGGGAAATGTAACAGTTAAAGGACAAATTACTTTTACAAAACGGTTTCGGTTCCATCCAATCTCACTGTCACTGGGAAATAATTATTTGATTACCAGCTTTTATCCATTTTCACAGGGCTTCAACCATGCAAAGATGCCATTAGGCATGTAGGCGTCATGCCAAATGTAATTGGTAATTCTTAGGAGCCCTCTTACTGTGTATTCAGATCTACTCAAATTAATGTCAGATATTACCCAAGAAATGAGGTTGTGAATCAGCACCGGAGAAAACTCTGGAAGAGATGGCAACCACGCCACACCCATTGAAATAAATAGCCAAAAGAAAATGATAAACTAAAGGAGTAAGAAATCTTATTTTCTTTCCTTGCTAATGAAAGAGAGAAAGATGTTTCTTTTCTTCTTGTCCGGCATGAGCGCGGAACAAAGAAAAAAGTTCGAAAGTCTAAGGTTTGACTCCTGATGGGGACTCTAGTCCCACGTTCGTCACAAGACATAAAACTGGAAAAGAGAATGTCAACTGATACTGATATTATCTTGAACTGGCATCTACCTCGATGTATTGGAGATGCACATAGTGTTATTCATAGTGTTATCATCAGTATAAACTTATGTTTGTTACCGTATATGCCGCAATGAAATAGATAAGCGACCTAAAATAATCTTTAATGAAGCCGACACAACTACAATCCCAATTTTTCAGTTCAAACTGTCTCTTTGAATTTGTTTCTTTCCGCACTGCTACGCGACCGACGTGAACATAAACAGGAAAGTAAATATAACATGCGTGTATCATAGCATGTAGCTTGAAGAGTTCTAAAATTCACACCTGTTTTTCTAGATCAAAGGGAAGTTTGAATAAAGCCTTTCGAGAACGTTAATCTTCAATGGACGGTGGGACGTTTTATTTTGCTTTTTTCCCTTTTCATTTATTGTTTCATTATTGTTACTATTATTGATTTATTTAAACTTTTTAAAATTCGTGTATATATTTTATTTTCAAACGATTTCATATTTGAACTTTTCTGAGATAGTTGTTCATAAACAAATAACTTAAACAAGAGGGGTTAAAGAATGGGAAGTATTTTCGCATAACTCCCTGCTATTCGAAAATAAAACCGTAGTCCCAAAGGCCATCTATTGTTTTCGCTACGTTTTTATTTCCTTCATCCAAGAACTGCACGCATAATGAAGTCTGGGGCTGTGCGAATTCAAATTAAGGAGCAAACATCAAAAAGGTTTTTTCTATGAATCCAATTCTGACATCAAGTTAGTGATAGTCGATAAAGACTCTCCTCTGTGGTTAACAAAGCTACCGATATAATTTTTGTTTTTTTCTTTATTTTAAAAGAGTAAGCGAAAAGCGAGCCAGGAGAAAATAAAAGGTCTGTAAACAGCCAATACTTTTTCCTCGGAAACAAAAAATAAACCAGATCTGATAGTCCCAAGCAGAACTCTGGCAGTTTCCAAACGCTTAAGTTTTTAATCTCTTTCAATAAACGTTGGCCTCCACGAGAGTGTTCACAAACGTGTTGCAACCACCCACAGAGGGCAAGTAATCAATCAATTCCGGCTGGAAATTCGCAAAAGTCAATAACTGATGTTTCAATTCAAACCGATTAATCATCGCGGTACAGAAACCTCAGGCAAACTAATTACCCCAACTTATGTGTAATACAATTGGACACAGCAGGTTTCTTAAGTGTTGTTTTCCTTCTCGTTTGAAAATGATTAATTCACTCCTTTTTGGCGCGTCTGGAGCGCTTTCAAAACAGTTACCAAACAAAAAATTACTATACATTTGAAAGAACTGTTATTATGTCATGTTTTTTTTATTTTTTAGAATTCGATTTACACGGCTCTACAGTAAAAAGAAAAAACAAGAAAATACATAAAAATAATCCGGGTTTTGTTCAACTTGGTAACTCAGTTTAACTTTCAATCGCAATTTGCACCAATGAGGTTCCTTGGCAGATCAGCTTATCTATCAGTTTATATCAAACGCACACTCATGGAATAATAGACGAGTAACTCATGCCTCATGACCTTAATTATGAAGGCTGAAGACAACTCATGGTCGCTCCAAAGACAAGATATTATTTAGACTACGAGCAGTCTCTCCCTTAAGGCCAAGTAATTAAGTTGCGTGTGCGGATTTTGTTTTTCTTTTGCGTAAATGCATTGTTAATTAACTTGCAAATGTTCTAAAATCTTATTGGCTCATACCACAGACGTAAGGAGAGTGGATATCAGTCAAAAAGTTTAGTTCAGGTTGAATCTCTTCGAAGAGGTAAGAGACAACGAAGTTCAACGCGAAAAAAAGGCGTTAAGCCAGACAAGATGAGCATTTATATGCTGTTAGTTCTGATGACTGTTTTGGGCACCGGTGAGTGTGTGGTATGACGTTTGGTTAAAACAGGGTTTTAATTTCAGAACACAGTTTGTATTAGCTCCGAAATTGAACACCTATATTTCAGTTGAAATAGTGTACCTTGGTGCACTGATATTCGTGAGGAAAATTTGACCATCTTGAAATCCTTTTACTATGTCAAAATAGGCGCAATTAAGCTTTGCGAAATATCCATGGTTGAATAGGTCGATTGCGGATGGATGTGATAGAGATCAGGGCCGGGTTGTTGAAAGCTGGTTAAGATAACCAAGGATTAGTGTGAAACTGATTTCAGATCTGAAAGCTTTATGAGAAAATTCAGTCGAAATTATTTTTGTCTAGAATACGACTATTTGATGCTATCAAAAGAACACGGAAAATTCTCCCAAAAAAGATTTTGAATAAAGGAGTAAAGAAACCCAGATTGCAATTTAATCTTGGGTTAGCGCTAATCGACATTCGAACAGCTGGGCCCAGAACTGTACCTTCTCTAAAGAATTGTGAAAAAACTGTCTAGAGGCTGGTCATTAGAAGCTTGCGTGTATGACGGTAAATAAGTTGTACGCACCCATTTAGAAGCAAAGGCTGTTATGCGTGTAAAACGCTGATCACAGTAGAGAGGTTGACACCAGCATAAAGGACTAGAAAATAAGCATTCACTGATCTAGTTCAAATGCGCGCGGAAATCTTTCATTTGATTTAACTGAAAATCATCAGGGAAACATTAATTGTGCGTTGTGCGGTGACTGGTAATCATGGTAACGAACACAATAAACTCAAGCATCAACTTTGTCTAAAAGTTGGCTAGACTTTCAGTGTCCATACACAGAATAGTGACGAAGTGCAGTTCTGGCGCATTACACCGAAGCAACTAATTCTTTGTCGAGGACAAATGCTTGAAAATCGAGATTTTCGGCTGAAAGAAGTTTCTTGCGTTTTTGGGCAGAAGTTAGTCGTTATCAATCATTTAAGAAATGGAAGGACTGACCCCTGCTGTTTCTCAGATCATTCAACAATTGGTTCATACGTCAGCGTGCGTTCATCGAGATATGAAGCACGCGGAAAGTTTGGAGAGCACGAAAGATGAATAATAGTTGCTCGAAGCGTAGCCGCGAGCAACTCTAGCTTCTTGAGTGCTCTCCAAACTTCCCAAGTGCTTCATACCTCGATGAACGTACAGCTGACGTATGAACCAATTGTTTTATAACATTTTCAACCCGATGGTTTAAATGTTGTAAAATTTTTTTTCTCGAGGGATTTGTTTGCTGACGTCATGAGCGTGCGCAGTAGGAATGGTTTAAATGTTGTAAAATTTTTTTCTCGAGGGATTTGTTTGCTGACGTCAAGAGCGTGCGCAGTAGGAATAGTTTAAATATTGTGAAATTTTTTCTCGAGGGATTTGTTTGTTGACGTCATGAGCGTGCACAGGAGGAATATGAAGCACGCTCACGTAATTGAATTTGATTAGACAAATTTACGCGGTATGTTATAAAACTACTTGCATTTAAAGTGAGAGAAATGAACATGGGTATTTCCCTTTTTACCGTACTTCTGATGCGGTTCTTATATACTTTATTTTAGCTTATCATGCACTTTTCACAAGTGATATTGTAAACCAGTTGCTGCTCGGTGGTGCCTGAGGAATTCCAACTGTGTTCGGAAGCGATAACGAAAATCTCCTAAATGCGACTATAACTGAAAAACACAAGCGATAACGAAATCTCCCAAATGCGACTAAATGCCACTACAACTACGACTACAAACGCGAGAAATCGTACGCGTAACTTGCTTACGACTGATCAACGTTAAATGTCTCAGCACGGGCGCGCCAAGTGCACGACACGCCAGTCCGGTACTTTCTTCTTAACAAACTGAGTCACCTGCAGATTATTTTCAGAATGCTGTGCACAATTTTAATTGAAACGACGGGCCCGGGGTATGATTGCTTTTAGCTTCCTCACCGTAGGGGTGTATTTAGCACAGTGAATAAGATTACTCAATCAAAGAACTCGATAATCAAACAAAAGCGTACACAAGCAGCACCTCATTTATTGGAATCAACACGCAAACTGACTTCTTCGTCCATACGCGTAACCCCAATGGAACAAGTTTTGGAAAAAAAAATAGTCATGCTATCGTTCAATCATTGCTTTTCAATTCAAACTCGCCCCCCATTAGAGAACTTCTTATGTGCCGGTCAGGGCAAATTTTAAACTCACAAAGAGACTTCACGTCCAACAAAACAGGCATCTGTCGTAGACATAGATTCGTTTACATTTAACCTTTCAAGTTTTCACCTTATTCACATCTCTCCACACTTTCAAAAATGTCTCTAAACATTTGATAGTGACCCGTTTGTTTCCTAATCATTAAAACTGGACAGAGCCAAAGACAAAACCGTTTGTTCTACTTTCCTGTTACAGGTCATGGCCTTAAGTGTTTTAGATGCGGTGGTAAAGAGGCCGACTGCACCAAGAAAATATTTGAAGGAAACAAAACAAAATACGTAGAGAACTGTTCCACTGGTCAGGATACGTGCATGAGGACCTGGGGCCAAAAGGAGGATGATGACAACAGCTACGTCTCCAGCATGTGCATGGAAAAGCAAGCCTGTAAGGATTTAGAAAAGAAGTGTGAAGATAAGGAGCTGAAAGATGAAAATGACAAACCGTTGAAGTGTGCCGTCGCCTGCTGTAGCACAGACGAATGCAATGGTAGCTCCGAAGTCTACTTCGGCGTGATCTTTTTGGCCGCCTGTTCTATCTTCGGCCTGGCACTGATAAAGTGAAGTAGAAGGCAAGGCGCTTTTAAAGCAACTCCAATGGTAGTATCCTATACGTACACATCAGGTGCAAGTTTTTTAGTAGTCTATCACAAAATTTTGAAGGCATCATTCAAAACTGTCAGGTTGTCTTAATAAAGCTTTTGATTCTGCACAGAAAATACTCCGTGTGAAATTTTCTATTGGCTTTGCGATTAAAGAATGCCAGCATTCGAACTTCAACTATTTAACGAATAGAGAAACATTGACTGTGCTCTGTTCTGTTGTAAAGCATGCAGGAAGCGGCTAGAGCAAGAAAGAATTGTAGGGAGAAACACGAGACGTAGTCGAATGTTTCTTCCCACTTCTTGAGTGCTCTAGCCGCTTCCTGCGTGCTTTATAACAGAACAGGGCACAGCCAAGACTTCTCTATTTGTTTTATAATAAAGAATTCGTTAAATTCCCCGCGCATTACTTTCAATTTCAAAACAAACTTTTTTTCCAAAGCGAACAACAGAGTCGTCAGCATGCTCTATACTCTCATAAAGCACGCTACAATAAGCCAATCAGAATCCTTGTTAGAATGCTTCAAATGATCTGATTGGTTGAAGAAGACTAAAGCTGTCATAGTCAAACCATCAAAGTTCACAATCTGCGATAGTTCACAAACTGAAATAGTTTGGCTGGTCGAATTTAACACATTTGCTTGACTCAGGAAGTTTCTTTATAGTTTTAATACAGAATCTGAAAGTGGAATGTCCAGTGAATTGTGGCTCGTAAAAACACGCAAGTTTTTTCACATGATAAATAATCTACTAAAGGCGTTTGTTTTATGAATGAACTACGGCTGAATTCACGGGAACATTAAGATTTCTCGGGATGACAGCGCCGTAAAACTCGGCTGTTGTGAGTGATGTGACTTACTCAACGCATCGGAAAGGATATCAGAGCAAGCTCTTAGTTGTTCACTCGAAGGGCGGCCGATTTAATTTCTGAGGCTTATTTCACTGCCATGACCGGAGATCGCCATGATGAGCTAGCTGCGATGGACCTCAGCACGATTGCAGTTGCTCTGACTCTGTCATGATTTGTATGAATTTACATTTTTCATCATTACTGTTTTTTTCTGTTTTGTTTTTGAACAGAACTATATATACTATATACGAGTGTAAGCTGTGTTTGATTCCTGTTACCGTACGTAAGTTTACAATCTAAATGAGCTCAAAAACCTTCAAAACTCGGACTGTCCATTTCCTTTTCTCTTGCAGGATTTTCGTCTCCGCGCTTGGCAACCGCTTTACAAACCTTCGAGTGAGAAACACGGAAGACACCATTTACGCAGTAATTTAAAAAAGGAAATATTTTTCCCAAGCACCCTGTCAGTAATTTAGAGCCATTTTCAAAAACGTATGAATCAAATTGTTTCGTCAATGTAATTTTTGATTGCCTCTACTTCGTTAGGATTTTAATAAGATTGCTTGGTTTATGGAATTTTTGATTCCTTAATTTGTGTTGCAGCCGCTGCCGGTGATACAACGCAAAAAGCACTTTTTCTCCAGTCTCAGGCCTAGTCGAGTGCTTGCTACACACTACTTTAATTGCCACCACTTATTAACAGTTAATTAGCAAGGAACCCCTGTTTAGAACAAGGAACGATCTTGACAGAGGCACCTATATGTAATTTTGATTGCGTAGGAGAAGCATTTTAAAAAAACACAACTAAAATCATTTTACTCTGAAAAATTTGCCTGCCGGTTTAGAGGGTAAAATTGTTGTCGCTTCACATGCGAAGGGTAAACCCAGCTTTTCAACGAATTCCGGTCGTTAGATATACGTTTTCTCCGAGCATTGTCTTTCATGATACAACTGGAAATAAATAATTGTTGTAAAACAGCGAATTACCTGGTCGTCTCTCTGTTTAGTTTTAGTCCAGTCCACTGGTTCTCGTTTTCGTGTTTGACCGGCTGCAAACCTATAATAGAGGACGCAAGAAATTGTACCGCTCCAGATCCGAATAAGGTTTTCCTCTCTTATCGCATGAATTAAAGACGAAAAATTCTTTGAATGAGATTCAAAACGCTGGTCTAACGTTTTAGGAGGCTCTGCTAAGTTTCATCTTTGCCAATACGAAATAAACGGCGTTCCAAGTATCTACTTTGTTTCTTAAATCTGAGTTCTCTTTCTTAGTCACTTCCGAAAGGAACCGATAGACAGTGTTCCTCTATGGGTACTTTGTCTGGTTTACTTTCCCCCTCTGTCCATTATGGACTCAAGATGTGTAATTATGTAGTTACAGCATTCATTTGCTGTTGTACGTTTGGCTGTCTACCCATGCATTCATTCCGGTTAAAGGTTATTAACAGTTCTCTTAATAAAATGGATTTTATCATATGTGAAATATTGTGGGTGATACACTCCTTTTAGAAGATCAAATTAAGAAAGAACTGTAAATTTGTCTCCCCTCTGATATAAAATGGCGTAGACAGAAGGTAGAAGCACCCCGACTGGTATCTGGGAAGCATTGGTTGAAGACACGACAAGATACAGTTTGTCCTCGAGGATAAATTCGTACCTTACACTCGTATCAGTCGAATTTGTGATATTTCATTTTCATTCAACCGCTTTTGAAGATCCTTGACTCGAACGATCAACCCGCTTTAGTTGCGGACATATTTTGTTTTATTGCTTAGGAGATGTTTTTTCCGCCTAGTTTTTGGCTAAACTTTAGATAATACCTCTTTGATAGAACTAATTCGAAAACGTATCTCGTAAATAACAATTTGTATTTATATCGTTCGTTTTTGTGGCGGGATTTTAATTGAATTGAATAACTGGCACGTAGCTTCGAAGCACTGTCTTTCTGATTGGAAAAATAGCAATTTTATTGTCTTCTTAGAGGATCTCAATGGAGTTTACCGTTAGCCGTAACACGGCAAAACAAAAAAATTTAGTAGTGAGGCGTAAAAATTGACAAATTTTAAGTGTTAGTCCGCATAAAAAAAGGTAACCTAGTGTTAACTACTAAGTTGAAAACGTAAATTGGCCACCGGAAAGATTTAAAAGGCTGATGTTTCAAGCGTTAGCTCTTTGTCATCACTCTGACGAAGGGCTAACGCTCGAAACGCCGGCTTTTTAACCCTTTACGGTGGCCAATTTACGTTTTCAACTCAGTTGTTAACACTTAATTACCTGCTATACTCTCCCACCGACGCAGCACCACAGTTTCTTTAGAAACTTACCCCCTTTACGCGTAAAACAAGTTAACCGTAAAAATTTATTCATCTGATCACAATGGAAAGAAATTAACCGATAGCCGTAAAATGAGCAACATCTTGACCGTTCGCCGTAAAATGTATTACCCGATTGAGACCCTCGTTACTGCTTAATGATAAAATCCATTAGTTTTTTTTTTTTAAAATATAATCCTGAAAATTAAAAATAACATCAGATATATGCTTTAAAAAATCACAAATCGTTCAAAGCAGTTTGAATTAAAGATAGTATGAGTTTCTGGCGATATGCGATTAAATCATAGAATTTTCATCTACTCGTTCTGTTTTTTGCTAAAACGGAGAATCTTTTTTTCTCCCGACGACAAGGGAAGAGGAAAATATTGGAACAAATCAAATTGGGAAAGATTGGAACAAATCAAATTGGATAAGTTTGAGCAAAAACAAATTAACAAACTGGAGAAAAACAATTTTAATTAGCCTTAAAAATGTCTTATTTCCACAAAGTGTGTTTTGTCAGCTGGTTTTCCTCTGAACAATATGTGTAATAGTTATTGTAAAAATTAACAGTCTAGCTTATGTTTTAGAGTGTGATGATTGTCGTGATAAATATAATTACGCTGGATTCGAGTCGCAATTTTTGATTGGGAGGTACCTTAACACATAAGGATAACTTTAAATTTAAAAATGGAATAATCATTATTGGGTAATGTTTAAAACAAGATGAGGAGGGGTAGGTGGAAAAATTCATGTCATCATCATCATCATCATCATGATGTAAAAATCAACTTCATGTTGATCTTGCCTCAAAGTTGCAATTTGGTCATCTACCCGACAATAGTTTCTGTTAAGACAGAAATATTTTCCCCAAGTTTTTGTTTAATTTTTCTCTTCGTATCTTTGTTTTTATTCCAACTCTAGAAACATAGCTATCAGTGAGGATGATGACTCACTTAAAATAGTGCCATAAGTGTTTATAATAGGGGGCTCTCCATGGGGTGATGGCTTTTACGGCCATAGGTTAAAATCTTGTCCATTTTACGGCTCACGGTTAACCCCACTGAGACCCTCTAACAGGTGTTTTATGTTGCTCCTAACAATAAGTCAAATAGGTCGAGGGTGAAAGCATAACGTGAAATATTTTTTAAAATAAAAAACTGTAAAAGTTACCACAAGAGATTTTGTTTTCATCACTACATGGCACGCTTCACACATAGAATGAAACTTTTTCTTTTCACCTTTGAAGTGTCTCTTGAAGTGTGTGTGGGGTTTGAGGTGGCGGGACTATCAAAGACCCCTCCAACAAAATAGTACACGTCGTACCATTAATGAACACTTGTTTAATTGTTTTTCTTCGTAACTCATCAAACACCACTTCAAAGTAATTATCAATTTTTTGTGCGGCCCTCAAATGAGTGTTTACATAAGACGTTTGTTGTTTACATTGATAGCGGATAATAAAGGGAACAGCGAAAGTCGGGTAATCATTGTAGTTGACTTAAAGGTCTGATCTGCTGTACTAACTTGACAATCTGTACCACCGTGAAAAGTCCAAACCAAACTGAGGCATGATGAAGAACTGTTTTTCGCTTGTTTTGTTGGGTAAGAGAGTACTTACATGTTTGCTGTATTCAATTGTGTCAGGAGGAAATTATTTCTTTCAAAACAGGGCTCTTATTAAGGACAGGGCGCTTCTTTCTTTTTTGAGGAACAGAAGAAGGTGCAAAACAGAGCGTTGATATTTATTGAAAAAAGATAAAAAAGACTTGAAAACGAACTTGTTGTCCCTAGATCCTAAAATGACTTGGCATTCATATTGACGAGTACTAGCAGTTCGTAATAATAATCGATGTTTTCCTCTAGCCCCAAGCCGCTAATTTCCATGAGTGTTTTTATTTTGTTTTACTGCATCAAGAAACAGAAACATTTGTACGTTCATTTTGTTATAGCCATGGTATGCAGTGTTGCAGTAGCTTTCCCAAAGAAATTAGAGGAAAGTGGGTTGAACGAGTATTTCCTTGGAGACGCTTCTGGTTTCACGGCGGATGAGAGCTCCAGTTTTCAAGATGCAAGTGTTGGTGCCGACGAGGGCTTCAGTCTTGAGAGTGACGCATCTGGTCTAGCAGCTGATGCTCGTCCGGCTGAGGCTTCGGACATGTAAGCCGGAGGATCAAGTCTTGAGGCAGATAAGGATCGCTGGGGGCCATGGAAGACGACAATCTACAGCTTACAGATTCTTAATCTTCATTGGTTAATTGGGTGTAGGATAATGATTCAAGACTGTAGTGAATTAAGTCAGACATACGAAATATAAACGTGATAAACACAGCAATAAATAAACAACTAGTGTATGTAACGCCGGTGTGGTGATGTGTTAGAGCCAAATGCTGATAGAAACAATAGTGAACAACAACGAGGTTTGGGGAAATTTTGATTTTCCGGGGAAAACCCAAGAAAGCGAGACATGAAACCAGTAAAAGCTCAATAACTGAGAAAGCCCCATCGAATGCAATCAAAAATAATAAAGTTGATAAATTAACTGACTTCAAGGAAGGGAATAAGTGAAAAAAGACTCCAGGGGAAGAATGAATGAATAGTGAAATAAGTAAGGGCGGAGGACGACGAAAAGAAAGGCAGGGCTACTAACTGTTCTTTTCCGCTCTGAGATTATGTAAATTAGCCAGCAAGGTAAAATTATTGATTGTTCGAAACCTTTTGAGGAATCTTCCTACTATTTGGGCGCAAACCGTCGTCACATGGGAATATGGACTTGTAAGAATTTTAAGATAATTTTAATCCTTACTTTCTTGTAGTCTTCTTTCTTACTGTTTTTTTTATTCATGGTTGCCTTGTTATTATGGCCTTTTTTGCTATTGGTGACAATAAAAACTCAGAAGGACTCCCTATATAAAATATCACTTGACTTGTAAGTTTAGTCACTTTTAATTTCTTTGGCTTTACAATAAGTTCTCAAAAGATTTAACTAAGTTTGTGCATACTTCATGCAGTTTTTTTAAACACCGTGCAATAAATCAAACGCTGCAAGCTTATCTTTAAGTGATACCTGCCAAAGAAAAGTTATGAAATACTTAAATGAACAATGAAAAGCTAACTGCCAATACAAGGGTCGCTCCCAGGACTTTTCCCGTAGTAACGCTATTAGCCTCGGAGGGAAGCGTTGGAGGCTGGGAAGCCTTGGCAAAGTCGTAGTCGAAGTTGCATTTATCTTCTTGACAACTGGCCATCTTAGAGCAGACTGTTTCTTTCCCAAAGTCCTTACAAGGATCTTTGTTGCAGTCCTCGTACAAGCAGCAGCCTGTCATCGAAAGGAAAATCAAATCCTTATTATTATCACGAGCCTAAGTAGTTCATAAGACTTTAAAAGAAGTTGAGAAATGCTAATTGGGTAAACGAAATAAATGTGTCTTATTCAAACTCTTTTATTTTATTTCACCTCATATCATCGCATCGAATGTGATGGAACCTCCTCGTGATGCAATGCTCTCTAATTCCATGGCATCGAGTTTAATGTTATGTCATCTCCTCATGTAATGTCAGGTCGGTCCTGACGTGTCATGCTATGTCGTGTTGTATCACCCCACATCTGTAACATTTGATCTTATTTTTGTCACGTCACGCGATGCAATTTTACGTAAGGCGATGTCATATCGGTCTGGCGAGGTTATTTCATTTTTATCACCCCATTTGTTGTCATTTTTTTCCAAGTTATTTTCATTCATGTCACCCCATGCCTCACATCGCACATCTCAGCTCTCATAATGTTATGTTAATTGCATCTCAAATTACTTCCCGAAACTGTATTCACATGTCACCTCATCGCCTCTCGTTTTAAACATCATTTCTATCCTCAACAAAGGGCCTCAATGGGGTTAACCGTTAGCTGTAAAACGGCCAAAGAATTAAGCCATTAGGCGTAAAAACTGACAAATTTTAACCGTTAGTCGTGAAAAAAGTTCACTGTAAAAAAAGTTTCTGGTGAAAACAATGGAAAGATATTAACTGCATTTTTCCAAGTTATTTTCATGCATGTCATCCCATGCTGTCATATCTGTTGCGCAAAATCATGACCTGTTATCATACGTTTATCGTGTGATTTTATGTGGTGTCTGTTCTAAATGTCTCGACGCGCTATCTTATTCCATCTTGTCTTGATTTTTCATTTCATCACATCGCATATCTCAGCTCTCATAATGTTATGTTAATTGCATCTCAAATCACTTCCCGAAACTGTATTCACATGTCACCTCATCGCCTCTCGCTTTTTCATTTCTATCCTCAACAAACGGCCTCAATGGGGTTAACTGTTAGCTGTAAAACGGCCAAAGAATTTAGCCATTAGGCGTAAAAACTGACAAATTTTAACCGTTAGTCGTGAAAAAAGTTCACTGTAAAAAAAGTTTCTGATGAAAACAATGGAAAGATATTAACCGCAAGCCGTAAATTGGCCAAAATTTTGACCGTTAGCCGAAAAAGCCAGCACCCAATTGAAACCCTCCTAACACGTCTCTCACTTTGAAGTTTCTTACTTTTAAACACTTTGATCGTGTCATATGAAGTGTAATTGACTGTGTACACTTGACAAGCGAACACAGAACCAGGCATGGATGAATCATCACATTTTACTGTCGCGTTACCAGACCCCTCACAACTTGGTGCAGCTCCACCACAACGATAGCACGTGATCGACCATCCTAAAGACAAAACATTTAAGAATGAAAATCACTTTTAAACTAGGACTAATTAGGATTATGGCACCCTTCATTACGAGTGCTGCAGGACACGCGTTTCTCCGCCCTCGGGGAGTTTTGAGATGAGTACGATAGAAGTTTGCCGGGGGTCTGGCACTATCAATCAGCGGTAGATCCCCAGCAGATTTCTCGCCGGTTCACGATTTTTTTTACCCCTTTACTCCCAGAAGTGATTAACACGTAACTTCTCCTTATAATATCCATACATTAGCGAGCAAGCAGGTAATAAGAATACTCAAACTTAGACAAGTAGAAGTTGTTATCTTGATCTATTACTAAATTCTCGTAACTAATTCTCAAGGGAATGAGTTGAAGCTAGAAGGGAGAATTAACAATTGGATCTTGGGAGTTAAAGGGTTAAGGCCTCTGATGTTCCCGCGGGGGAAGAACAGGCGCTCGCACGGTAGCACTTATGATAAAGACGTGATTATGATTACGATCTCGACACGTGATCTATTCCACTGACGAGTTCCCCATTACTTATTGGTAGAGTGTGATTTCGAATTTTGAAACCTCTTATGGGGGGGGGGGGAAGGGGGGAGATGGTGTGGTGTGTGATTGTAGCCTCCTTTCTTATCAATTTATCACCTTTTATACCCGCATTCCACCGGATTGATTTAAACGCACAACTTCGTATTCATTTTTCTCCTTTGGGATAAATAAATTTAAGAGGAAAATGAATTCTGAGAAGAAAAGCAACTTTCTCGTAAATGTTCGCCACAAAGAAATGCACGCACGACCTGAAATGAGTCCATCCGAAACGTTTGTCCTTGAGAGCTATCCCGGAAAGTCACGTTCAGCTTAGTGTTAAATTACGTGGCGCAAAAAACAATGGCATCTACTCAAGAAAATAGAATAGCTAATGAACCTCTCTTGGCTAACTAATATTTCCTACATGAAGTCATGTCTAATTAGCTGGAGTTTTTAACAAAGGCTCACAGACAAAAAGCTTGAAAGCAAAAACTGCAATAATGCATTCTGTAGCTTCATAATGAGCAGAAAGTTTTAAATCTTAATTCTTGAATTTCTTAAGCTTTCTTATCACTGAAAAATTACGTAACGTACAAGGCTGATTTTAGAACAAAGCAGTTTTTGCAAACAGACGCCTTTTTTCAAAGAAAAATAAATAGGTCATATTTTGAAGTCAATCCTTGGCAAAATAGCGATACAAGCTAAGAATTGGTACAACTGACCTTCATTCAAAGACACTGCAATCTACGTTATCTGAACGGCTTTTACTGCATGAGAAATTCTTATTATCATTGTACTACTTGCGAACGTAGCAAACGCTAGAGAGCGCGAAACCCAAGAAGTCATCAGCGCTAAATGACGAGGTCTGTCATTTATTAGTTTTCCACCGATACAGGCACCCAAAAGCTTAAAATGGCGGCAATTATGTCCACGTCTACTATGTTTAGGTAAGAAAGACACCATCGTGTTCTTCTTGCCATAACAATTGTCTACAACATTCCGATTGATTTTCGTCGACATCTAGGAAGAAGAGATACATACCTTGCACAAAGACTGAAGCTACAACCCATGCTATTAATAGCAGTTTCATTTTGATCTGAGATGGTTTTCCGGTGCGTCTCGAAAAACTTAATGTTTGGTTTGGCTTTAATCCAAGCAAAGTATTTTGGACCCGTTTCTATTTGAGAATTACATATTATGTAAATAATACTTGCTAGGTTTAAGGTCGCTTTGTTTGCTAAGCTGTGTTAACCCTTAACATACCAACTACGCATACATGCGTAGAAATATAAGTCGTCCTTTTAACGAGAAAAATGAATTCTAAGAAGAAAAGTAACTTTCTCGTAGATGTTCGCCACAAAGAAATGCATGCACGACCTTAAATGAGTTCATCCGAAACGTTTGTCCATGAGAGCTATCCCGGAAAGTCACGTTTTTGTTTCGTGTTAAAGTACCTAGCGCAACAGAAGAAAATCAAAGACAATGGCATCTGAGATACGTACCTTGCACAAAGACTGAAGCTACAACCCATGCTGTTAATAGAAACTCTGAAAAGTTTGCCAGCCGGTTTAGAGGGTAAAATTGACTGAGATTGTTATCGCTTCATATGCGAAGAGTAAACCCACCTTTTCAACGAATTCCGGTCTTTGGATATACGTTTTCTCCGAGCATTGTCTTTCATGATACAACTGGAAATAAATAATTGTTGTAAAACAAAGCGAATTACCAGGTCGTCACTCTGTTTAGTTTTAGTTTCAGTGGTTCTCGTTTTCGTGTTTGACCGGCTGCAAACCTATAACAGAGGATGCAAGAAGTTGTACTGCTTCAGATAAGGTTTTCCTCTCTTGTCGCATGACTTAAAGAAGAAAAAATTATTTGAATGAAATTCAAAACCCAACCGAGCTGAACGTTCTAGGAGGCTCCGCTAAGTTTCACCTATGCCGCTACAAAATAAAACGCCGATTACAGTATCTGCTTTGTTACTTAAATCTGAATTCTCATTCTCGGTCATTTCCGAAAAGAAAAGTTATGGACTCAAGATGTGTAGTTATGTAGTTACAGCATTCCTTTGCTGTTGTACGTTTGGCTGCCTACCCATGCACTCATTCTCGCAAAAGGTTATTAGCATTTCTCTTGAGAAAATGTATTTCATCATGTGTGAAATATTGTGTGTGATACCCCTTAAGAAAGAACTGAAAATTTGTCTCACCTGTAATATATAGTGGCATAGACAGATGGTAGAAGCACCCCGACCGGTATCTGGGAAGCATTGGTTGAAGACATGACAAAAATGAAATTCTCCATATTAGACATAGTTTAGATACAGTTTGTCCCCGAAGATAAATTCGTACCTTAAACTCGTATCAGTCAAATTTGCGATATTTCATTTTCATTTAACCGCTTTTGAAGATCCTTGACCCGAACGATTGACCTGCTTAAGTTGCGGACATATTTTGTTTGCATCTCAGAAGATGTTTCTTTCCACTTGGTCTTTTGGCTAAATTTTAGACAATACCGCTTTGTTGGAACTAATTCGAAAACGTATCTCGTAAATAACAAATTGTATTTATATTGCTCGTTTTTGTGGTGGGATTTTAAGCGAATTGAATAACTGGCACGCAGCTCCGAAGCACTGTCTGTCTGATTGAAAAAATAACAATTTTAATGCCTTCTTAAAGGATCTCAATGGCGTTTATCGTTAGCCGTAAAACGACAAAAAAAATTTAGCAGCGAGGCGTAAAAGCTGACTAATTTTAAGTGTTAGTCCGCGCAAAAGAAGTTAACCGGAAAAATTTATTCATTTGCATGATCAAAATATGGAGAGAAATTAACCGTTAGCTATAAAATGAGCAACATCGTGACCGTCGACGTAAAAGGTAAAATGCTTAATGATAAAATCCATTAGATTTTTTATTGAAAAATATAATCCCGGAAATCAAAAATAATATCAGGTATGCTTTTAAAAAATCACAAATCTTTCAAAGCAGTTTAAGTCAGAGATGCTATGAGTTTCTGGCGATATGCGATTAAATCATAGAATTTTCATCTACTCGTTATGTTTTTGCCGAAACGGAGAATTTCTTTCTCTCCCGACGACGAGGGAAGAAGAAAAGATCGGAACAAGTCAAACTGGAAAAGTTTGAGAAGAAACAAATAAACAAACTGGAGAAAAACAATTTTAATTAGCCTTAAAAATGTCTTATTTCCACAAAGTGTGTTTTGTCAGCTGGTTTCCTCTGAACAATATGTGTAATATTTATTGTAAAAATTAACAGCCTAGCTAATGTTTTGGAGTGCGATAGTTGTCGTGATAAATATAATTACGCTGGATTCGAGTAGCAATTCTTGGTTGAGGGGTTCCTTAATACATAAATGGAACTTTAATTTTAAAAATTGAATAATTATTATTGGGTAATGTTTAAAACAAGATGAGGAGGGGTAGGTGGAAAAATTCATGTCATCATCATCATCATCATCATCATCATTATCATCATGTAAAAATCAACTTCATGTTGATCTTACCTCAAAGTTGCAATTTTGTCATCTACCTGACAATAATTTCTTTTGGGACAGATATTTTTTTCCCAAGTTTTTGTTTTACTGTTAATTTTTCTCTTCGTATCTTTTAACTCTAGAAACATAGCTGTCAGTGACGATGATGCCTCACCTAAAATAGTGCCATAAGTGTTTATAATAGGGAGCTCTTAATGGGGTGATGGCTTTTACGGCCATAGGTTAAAATTTTGTCCATTTTACAGCTCACGGGCGCTTCTTCCTTTTTTTCGAGGGACAAAATTAAGTGCAAAATAGAGCGTTGATATTTATTGAAAAGGATCAAGAAGATTGGAAAATGACCTTGTTGTCCCTGGATCCTTCCTGGCTAGAACGACCAGCCAAGCAATCGTCGCAAAATTTTAAGACGAGATCATTCGTTTGAAAGAACTGCGGCTTTGACAACGACGTGATAGTTGAGAGACTTGTTTTTGTAATGAGGTTTTAAGTGAGCAACTAAAGCGAGATAAACCAAGGTTGATCTCAGTGTACATGTACTGTAACAGTGCTATCACAAGATTACTAAAACAGAATAGGCGCGCTTATTAACAAAACGAAATTAGAGAGGAGTGTTTATTAGAGATGGGGCGCTTATTGCTAGGAGAGCACCAAATCAAATCACTACGGGACTGTTAGATGCGGATAGGATGCGGTAAATTACCGTCTATTGGGAAATAATATATTGTGGAAGAAACGCAGCCATATATTGTGAGAAGAACTCAAGAATAAGGAGCTCTTGTCGACTTAGTCTATTCAGAATGCTTTGACCGAACCTTCTAAGTTTTCCTTTCGCTAACAACTCAATATAATAAAGAGAAATGTTTTATTTGTTGGTCATGCTGTTCACAATAGAGAAAAAAATCCTCACAGAAACGCTGAAGCTCACCCGATGCATGAGCTCATAGGTCAATTTTCTGTGTTACCAGAATGACTTGGCATCAATTTTGATGAGTGCTAGCAGTTCGTAATAATAATCAATGTTTTCCTTTAGCCCCAAGCCGCTAATCTCCATAAGTGTTTTAATTTTGTTTTACTGCATCAAGAAACAGAAACATCTGTACGTCTATTTTGTTATAGCCATCGTATGCAGTGTTGCAACGCTGCATACGGCGTATGCAGTGTTGCAGTAGCTTTGCCAAAGAAATTAGAGGAAAGTGAACTGAACGTGTATTTCATTGGAGACGCTTCTGGTTTCACGGCGGATGAGAGCTCCAGTTTTCAAGATACAAGTGTCGGTGCCGACGAGGGCTTCAGTCTTGAGAGTGACGCATCTGGTCTAGCAGCTGATGCTCGTCCGGCTGAGGCTTCGGACATGTAAGACGGAGGATCAAGTCTTGAGGATCGCTGGAGGCCATGGAAGAGGACAATCTACGGCTACAATCTACAGATTCTTAATCTTCATTGGCTAATTGGGTGTAGGACAATGATTCAAGACTGTAGAGTTACCTATTCCGGTTCTTATGGTTTAGATCCATCAGTGAATTAAGTCAGACATACCAAATATAAACGTGCTAAACATACAGCAATGAATAAACAATTAGTTTATGTAACGCCAGTGTGGTGTTGTGTTAGAGCCAAATGCTGATAGAAACAGCAGTGAACAGCAACAAGGTTTGGGGAAATTTTGATTTCCCGGGGAAAACCTAACTGAGAAAGCCCCATGGAATGCAATAAAAAATAATTAAATTGATAAATATACCATTGAATAAACCTTCAGGATGCAGACTTGAAGAACTACCAATTGCAATGGAAGACAGAGAAAGGTGGAAGGAGCGTGTCATGGAATATCGAGCAAGCTCGATCTTATGATAATGATGATGATGATATACCTTCAAGGAAGGGAATAAATGAAAAAAGAATGAATGAATAGTGAAATAAATAAGGGCGGAGGACTGGCGAAAAAGAAAAGCAGGGCTGCCAACTGTTCTTTTCCGCTCCAAGAATATGTAAAGTAGCCAGTAAGGTACAAACTATCGATTGTTCGAAACCTTTTGAGGAATCCTCTCACCATTTTTGGGCGCAAACCGTCGCCACATGGGGTTATGGACTTTAAAGAATTTCAAGATAATTTTAATCCGTACTTTCTAGTAGTCTTCTTTCTTACTGTTTTTTTTTATTGATGGTTGCCTTGTTATAATGACCTTTTTTGATTGCTATTGGTGGCAATAAAAACTCAGAAGGACTCCCTATATAAAATATCACTTGACATGTAATTTTAATCACTTTCAATCTGAAATTAAGAGATACTCACAGCTAAGAACACTACTGAAACGAGTAGTTGTAAATAGAACCTGAAAAAAATTCAGGCCCGTACGGGATTTGAACCTATGACCTCTGCGATACCGGTGCCAACCAACAAGCCAATTGGGAGCTGATAAATGAATTGGGTCCAAATAAACATCCAATTCATTGACCAGCTCCCAGTTGGCTTGTTGGCTCAATTGGTAGAGCGCTGCACCAGTATCGCAGAGATCATGGGTTCGTACGGGCCTGAATTTTTTTCAGATCCTATTTACAACTACTCGTTTCAGTAGTGTTCTTAGCTGCGAGGATCTCTTAAGTTCATCTTTCCACCGCAGTGCAAATATATGAATGCACTTTCAATCTCTTTGGCTTTACAATAAGTTCTCAAAAGATTCAACTAATTAAAGTTTGTGTATACTTCATGCAGTTTTTTGTTAAACACCGTGCAATAAATCAAACGCTGCAAGCTTATCTCTAAGTGATACCTGCCAAAGAAAAGTTTTGAAATACTTAAATGAAAAATGAAAAACTAACTGCCAATACAAGGGTCGCTCCCAGGACTTTTCCCGTTGTAACGCTGTTAGCCTCAGAGGGGAGCGTTGGAGGCTGTGAAGCAACGAAGCCTTGGCAGAGTCGTAGTCGAAGTTGCATTTGTCTTCTTGACAACTGGCCATCTTAGAGCAGACTGTTTCTTCCCCAAACTCCTTACAAGGATCTTTGTTGCAGTCCTCGTACAAGCAGCAACCTGTTATCGAAAGGAAAATCAAATCCCTATTATTATCATGAGCCTAAGTAGTTCATAAGACTTAAAAAGAAGTTGAGAAATGCTAATTGGGTAAACGAAATAAATGTGTCTTATTCAAACTCTTTTATTTTATTTCACCTCATATCATCGCATCGAATGTGATGGAACCTCCTCGTGATGTGATACTCTCTAATCGCATGGCATCGAATATAATGTTATGTCATCTCCTCATGTAATGTCAGGTCGGTCCTGACGTGTCATGCTATGTCGTGTTGTATCACCCCACATCTGTAATATTTGATCTTTGTCACGTCACGCGATGCAATTTTACGTAAAGGGATGTCATATCGGTCACGCGAGGTCATTTCATTTTTAATCACCGCATTTGTTGTGTCATTTTTTTCCAAGTTATTTTCATTCATGTCATCCCATGCCTGTCATATCTGTCACGCGAAATCATGACGTGTTATCATACGTTTATCGTGTGATTTTATATGGTGTTTGTTCTAAATGTCTCGACGCACTATCTTATTCCATCATGTCTTGTTTTATTTTTCATTTCATCACATCGCACATCCCAGCTCTCATTATGTCATGTTAATTGCATCAAATCACTTCCCGAAACTGCATTCACATATCACCTCATCGTCTCTCGTTTTAGACATCTTTTCTTTCCTCAACAAAGCGCCTCAATGGGGTTAACCGTTAGCTGTAAAACGGCCAAAGAATTTAGCCATTAGGCGTAAAAACTGACAAATTTTAACCGTTAGTCGCTAAAGAAGTTCACTGTAAAAAAAGTTTCTGGTGAAAACAATGGAAAGATATTAACCGCAAGCCGTAAATTGGCCAAAATTTTGACCGTTAGCCGAAAAAGCCATCACCCAATTGAAACCCTCTTAGCACTTCTCCCACTTTGAAGTTTCTTACTTTTAAACTCCTTGATCGTGTTGTATGAAGTAAAATTGACTGTGTACACTTGACAGGCGAACACAGAACCAGGCATGGATGAATCATCACATTTTACTGTCGCTTTACCAGACCCCTCACAACTTGGTGCAGCTCCACCACAACGATAGCACGTGATCGACCATCCTAAAGACAAAACATTTAAGAATGAAAATGGCTTTTGACCTAGTACTAATTATGATTATAGCAGGCCTTCATTACCAGTGCTGCAGGACACGCGTTTCTCCGCCCTCGGGGAGTTTTGAGATGAGTACGATAGAAGTTTGCCGGGGGTCTGTCACTATCGATCAGCGGTAGATCCCTAGCAGATTTCTCGTCGGTTCACGATTTTTTTTGCCCCTTTACTCCCAGAAGTAATTAACATGTAACTTCTCCTTATAATATCCATACATTAGCGAGCAAGCAGGTAATAAGAATACTCATACTTAGACAGCTAGAAGTTGTTATCTTGATCTATAACTAAATTCTAATTCTCAAGGGAATAAGTTAAAGCTAGAAGGGAGAATTAACAATTGGATCTTGGGAGTTAAAGGGTTAAGGCCTCTGACGTTCCCGCGGGGGAAGAACAGGCGCTCGTAAGATGGCACTTAAGATAAGGACGTGATTACGATCACGATCTCGACACGTGATCCATTCCACTAACGAGTTACCCATCGCTTAGTGGTAGAGCGTGAGATTTTCGCCACAAAGAAATGTACGCACGACCTTAAATGAGTCCGTCGAAACGTTTGTCCTTGAGAGCTATCCCGGAAAGTCACGTTCCAGCTTTGTGTTAAACTACGTGGCGCAAAATCGTGTTCTTCGCGCGCCATAACAATTGTCTACAACATTCCGATTGATTTTCGACGACATCTAGGAAGTAGAGATACGTACCTTGCACAAAGACTGAAGCTACAACCCATGCTATTAATAGCAGTTTCATTTTGATCTGAGATCGTTTTCCGGTGCGTCTCGTAAAACTTAAAGGGTAACTGACGGCTAGAGGGTCACTTCGAATGCCTCTTTGTGCCTTTTTTCGCCGGGAAAACTGTCCTAAATGCAGCTTCGTGAGTCATCCGCCATAAACACTTCAATTTTGATCATGAGACCTGTACGTCACGGTCGTCACTAGTTTCCATCCGTGAAACTGACGTGACGTCATATGATCTCCGACGGGAATCTTCGGTTCAGTGGTTCGGGTTTCGGGTTTCCTTTAGAAAAAACAAATATGGCGGATGTTTCTCTCTTAACCTTTTGCAGATCTTTATGTTTTGTACATCAAATAAAGCTCTGAGTTACTTTTAATAAAGCTGAGAGCAACTGTTTATATTTTAGTGCGTATACCAGTGTGTATCACCGAATGGTGGATCAACGTCAGTTTGAAAGATGGCATATTCGATCGTAATCTTCCATCCGTGAAAGTGACGTGACATGCTGGGTGATCGTACTCGGCGATGAACGACAATTTGCCGAACATTGCCCTCGGATTTCCATGCATTTCTTTCCCGCTAAGCTTCGTTCTTTGGCGGGCATTTTCAAATATGTAAATGCAGATTTTCTATTAAGGTTCCGCGACCGCTAAACCTGGAAGTTTAGTAAGAACTGTGATAGCCCAGCTAACCCTTTTAGAAATGGCTACGCCAGTAAATGACGAAGAACGCCACACAGATGATCTTGTACAATTAAACAGTACTTTGAGTACTACTGCTCATGCGGTATGTTCGTGGGAGCCGAAGTTTAAAGGATCTACAAGCAAGTATGTTGGTTATGTCGAGTCAGTTGAAGCAGCCATGGCTGTGATAAAGCAATATGAGATAGAAACCACGACAAAGTTTTGCTGTTTTAAATCTGACAAGATGTTTGGGGCTGGAGGTGAGTCTATTATGCATGCAAACATGGGAAAAATATACATTTAGATTGGGGGGCATAGGCGAACGAACAGGAGGGGGGGGGAGGCGGCAGCCCCCAGTCGTAATTTTTTTTCGGACAAAATTACCCTGCGAACAGAGTCTCTTCGATCTTCTTACCTGACTGATCTAGGAAGATCGACTCTGCTCGCTGGGTAGGACAAAATGCCCATGATTCCAGCAAAAGCACATGGAGAAAACAAACAAAAAATCCCATTAATTAATAAAATGGGTTTCAAGAATTCAAATTTGGATTCTGGAATTGTGACACTAGTTTCGTGAGACACGATTATTTTAAACAGTTAGTTTTTTTTTTAAATTTAGGTCAAGGTCACCACCTTCCCAAGTCCGAAAGGTGCGCCCATACGCCTATGGGTGTGTGTGTGTGTGTGTGTGTAGGGGGGGGGAGAGGTTACTCCCATAGTGGACTATAAATGTTGAGAGGCTGTGCATGAAAGGGTTACCTTTTTCAGGTCAAAAGTAGTAGATGAAAAGATAAGGGTTTGGACCACTGGACAGATCCCCCCCTATATAAAATATTATTGAGTAGAACCCCCCCTCCCTCTCACTGGGATGTCCAGTAATATCTGTCTAAAAATTACAACTAAGGTTAGCTGATGTTTGTATTGTCATATAGGCTTATTGACTTTATTAAGAACGAATTTCACCTGATCTGAAAAAAAATGTGTGGGTTCTTGCTGGATTCAACTGTAGCTTACGTGCTTGGGTTAAGCAGGTGAGGGCTATGGATGAATATTAGATAAAGGTGAAGCAGGTAAAAAAAAGAAACAAATTGTGTCATTTAATCTTTGAAATAAAGAACAGAAATGCTTGATAAAATGACCAGTGCATTAAATAAAATACAAACAAAAATTCCTTCTTTGGATGTTGTCACAGATCCCTTTGCCAAGCCAAGAAAAGTTTATTTTAAAGATGACAAAATCCCATTTGATGGAGTGCCCTTCAGTATCATTGGCTCAAAGATGTTTGACTGCCAACATGGTCCAGACAGAAAAAAGGCATTCAAAGCAAGACAAGCCAATGAGAAGGTATGTTTTTGACAAATTAAAATTCCAAAAAAAATCTATTTCTTCCCCATCTAAGTAACCTTTTGTTTTTGTTTGTTTCTTTTCTTACATTATAATTATTATTTCTTCTTAACTACAGGCTGGCGATCACTCCTTCAAAAAGAAGAGATTTTTACCTCAAAACACCATGAAATTCGGGTGCACTGCAAGTATTCGTCTATCAGAAGTTATTACATATCCAAGTTACAAGGTACTTCAGTCTGTAAACCATGAGATGATGATGATGATGAAGATGATGATGATGATGATTATTATTATTACTATAACTATTGCTGTGTGCTATTGATAGCGATGTTTTCAACATATTTTTAAGTATAGTAACCTCAATACTCATAATTTATCATTAGTCTGTACTAAATTACAAGTAAAAGTTTTGTTAACAATAACTCTTTACAAGTAGATCAGGGATGACACAGAGAGACTTCGACGGGACATGTCCGACACTGAATAGCAAAACATCCTCTTCCAATGGCATAAATGATGCTCCCACTCCTGCACCCACAGAAAATTCAAAACCACAGTCAGCTCCACAGAAGCACACTCTCCTGAATGAATCTGGTGAATCAGCTAAAGAAAACACAGATGAGCACAACTGCAACAGTCCCTGTGATCCAGTCATCCCTTCCAGTAAATCACCTGTAAAAAATCTGAAAAGAAAAAACAAATCAGGCCTCAAACATTCCACACCAGCTGAGAAACAACGACAAGACTGGGGACAACCACCCCAGAATGTGCCATCATTGAATAGCGAAACATCCTCTTCCAATGGCATAAATGATGCTCCCACTCCTGCACCCACAGAAAATTCAAAACCACAGTCAGCTCCACAGAAGCACACTCTCCTGAATGAATCTGGTGAATCAGCTAAAGAAAACACAGATGAGCACAACTGCAACAGTCCCTGTGATCCAGTCATCCCTTCCTGTAAATCACCTGTAATTATTGTCAATGATGATTCTCCTGATCCTCCATTGTGGGTGAAATTAGAAAATTGCAATCCTGATGATCCTGAATCTAAACTAATTCTTTATCACGCAAGCAAAAGTAGTATTCTCAACAAAACCAGCTGGCTAACAGATTCAGAAATCCATGCAGGGCAGCTTCTCCTAAAGAAAGAATTTCCATTTCTAGATGGCCTAAATGATACAACAATCACTGGGTCACATGTTGTGCCTGCTAGATCTGACTTTGTTCAGATTGTAAATACTGGGTCACACTGGGTGTGCCTCAGTACAATAGCAACAAGACCAGCTAGTGGCACTGTAAGGATCTTTGACAGCCTTTACCTTAAACCCAGTTCAATAGCAATCAAACATGCTTGTCGCATGTTGATGTTTCCTGGGGATCAAATCACTCTTATAAATGAAAAGGTCCAGAGACAAGTAGGTATCAATGATTGTGGCCTATTTGCTCTGGCCTTTGCAACTGACCTCTGCCATGGTTTAGACCCTGTTAATCAAAAGTATGAACAAAAATCTATGCGGCAACATTATGTCCGCTGCCTGGAGAATGGAGCAATGGTGCCATTTCCGAAAAACAACAAGGAGAGTTTCTTTTCATATCAGCTGCAACAAATCATCTGTTGCTATCTACTGTCTATGTAGAATGCCATATGATAAAGAGGAATATGTTCAGTGCAGCTACAGATGCAGAGCATGGTATCATACTTCTTGTGTCAACATACCAGAGTGGGCTATTAACAGTGGTAGAAAGTGGAAGTGTGGCAAATGCAGAGAAGCTACAAAATATTAAAGGAACTGAGTGACCAACACGTGTCTAGCAAAAAATCTGCAAGTCTTAGACATCAGATATTTTAAGTTTGTCACTTGAAACCATTCCTCTCATTTGCAATTTCATCACAGAACTTTTTTGTGAAGGTCATTGTCATAACTGTGTTACAGAAAATTTTCATATCTCCCTCACACCCAACAGAAGGGGCTTTTTTAGGTTAAAGTCCCTTTTAAGAAATCTCAGTTTAGCGCCATAGTTTCCCAAAAAAATATTGGTTAAACAGTCAGTGGCTGCAACTTATAGTGATCTTCTAGAGATGGGTATCTATTTTTGGAACCACACAATTTTGAAGTAATCCAAAAATGGTTTAAAATATTGTGATACAATTTTTTTTAAAAAAAAGGATACCAAACTGCAGTTTAAATAATTGTGAGAGTAATCTATTTACAAGTGTTCCAACTGAAATTTGTTTAAAAAAGTCAACAGAAAAAATAATTTGAAAAAAAACAGTTATTGTAGAAAATTTTTAAAGTTATTTTTAACTTTAAATTTCACCACATCTGTTATGCTTGCCACCACATGTGTTATGCAAAAAAATAAGTTTGGTAAAGCATTTGCTTTAATTATACTTGTTGAGTATTATGCTGTTTTGAGGGCTAATCATTGTTACCAACTTGCATGGTGGCAAATAGTTTAGTTGTTTTTCAACTGTATGACTTAAATGATATTGTATGGTTAATATCTACTGTTTCAGTTTTTACATTTTAATAAGCTTACTTGAAGCTTAGTTCTATAAATTTGTGTCAACATAAAAAAGTGTACCTAACAATATTAGTTTGGTCTGTATTTACATATACCGTAACTAGTAAGCTCATGTTTCCATTAACAGGCTATGACCTTATTTGCATTTTAGGAAAAAAAAAAGTTTAATCTTGCATTCTCTAAAAAAGAAAATTCAGTAAAGAAATTTTTATGGTAAATTTATAAAAACAAGGATGGTAATTTCTTATAGCATGCCTACCAGCACTTCAGGCAGACAGACCTTAGTACATTTACCGCTAACTCTCGACCAAACTTTCACCTTCATCTAGTCTTATGTCATTTTGATGGATGGCCCATCTCTCCATCGACCAAAACGACGTTTCTTCAGAAATGTGAATAACATTACAAGAGCATTTCCTTGCAAATTCCTAAATGAACAAAATAATACGAAGATTGTTCTTTACAATTGTTATTATGATTAAAGATTATATACTCACCATTCACCGTTCACACCA